CCAGCTTAACATCCCTCATTTGAGGTAGGGTAACGGTATTGCAGGCACTAACAAAGAAATCATTTAGGATCTCGGGATCAATGGTAGATTTCGATTTGATTTTTCCATGCACATTAAGGTTTTTAATGTTACGCCAAAGATTTTTGGAGGGGAGCGAAGGATTTAATTTATTACTGAAGTACAAGCTTTTCGCCTTTCTAATAGTATGTGTAGCTTCGTTCCGGGCCATTTTGTATTGGGTCCAGTAGAAGTCAGTCATATTTCGTCTCCATTTTGCATGCAGTTTGTTTCGTTTTCTTATAGCCGAACGTACATCCTTGGTATACCAGGGGCATGAGGAGTTGACTGCACAAACAGTACGTAGAGGTACATGTAGGTCGAACAACAAATTCAAATTATTATTTAAAAAATCAAGTTTATCATCGACACTTTGAATAAATCGCACATCATTCCAACACACATTACAGAAATCATAGTTCAAAGACTTCAGATCACGATACGTAAATTTTACATCAACTTTTGGACGATTAAGGGCAACATCTAGGGAACAAAAGATTAAATCATGGTCAGATATAAATGCTATTTGATCGAATTTTAAAATGTGGGCCAAGTTGGAGGTGATAAAGAAGTCTAATAGGCTAGGATTACAGTTATTGGAATATCTGGTCGGTACGGTTTTATTTACTATTTCAAGGCCCGCAACAGAAACGTGGTCAAGAAACTTAATGGTGTAGGAGTCGCTCAGAAGCAGATTAATATTAAAATCTCCAAAAATAATGTAACGATCATAATCAATAGCAAACAAACTTAACTTACAGAAAAACGAATCCAGTACATAGCTCCTGTGCGGGTTATATACACAAGATACAAGAATTTTAGATAAACCGTCCGACACTTCAGCAACAATAAACTCCGTGTCTAAATTGTCCGATTTCGCCAACACACGGATCTTTAGATTTTCTCTACAATATATGGCAATACCTCCGCCTCTCTTCGTCGTTCGATCATGTCTTACGATATTGAAATTATTAATATTGTAATAAAAGTCCGCTGAGCCAAGATTAGCCCACGTTTCAGTGATACAGATCACAGCAACAAATGAGTTAACAAAAACAGATCTAACGTAGTCCAGCTTTTCTGAGGTCAGGCTCCGAGCATTGAAGTGAGCTATGTTGAAACCTCTGTACCGGTTGCACAAAATATTGATTAGCAGTTTATGGTTTTCGACAACGCCGGAGACTTTTTCATTAATGTGGTGCGAAACCATCACAGAAAACTGAAAAAGAGGCAGCTACAAAAATATAAGGGACATACAGAATGTGCGGACAACAGCAAAACAAGAAAAAAGGGAAACCAGCGATACACAAATTGAGGAAAAGAAAGATCAGTAAAGAACACGAAGGAGTATTTAGAAAATTGAAGCATACACTCATAGAAGGTGGTATCATACTTAAAATAATATATATGTACTAATAAATAAATAAACAAAATTTAAAAAAGAAACGATTAGTTTCTAGCGCCAATAAGAGCATCGACGTCTCTCTTGCTAAAACGACTTTTGCATTTTCATGTGGTTTCAGCCTAATGTGGATTTTTCCCCGGATTGAATAAGCGGACGTCAACAATTTTTTTCTCTTGCAGTCGGTTGCATACATCATCACCTCACGCGCAGAGTTCGTTAGGCTCTCATGAATGTATACCTTCCCATATCCTGGTAATTCGAGATCCGAAAGAATTAGAGGTCTCTTATTTTTTATTATTTTTTTATATATATGTTATATAAACAACAAAAAAGAATCTTCTATCATGCAACAGGAAGAGAACACCACTAACCCCCAGAACTGATATAAAACTATTTATATGTGTATATCGAGGGCTTATATTCAATACCCTCTATCTGCAATTTTGATGAAAATGGGTTTTTTATGGTAACGTGAGCAGCGGTGCCATTTTAGCCGTTTTCCGGCTAGATTTAGCCGGTTTTGATAGCAACTAGCCGGAGAAAATTCGATCTAGCCGGCAGCCGATTTGTTAGCCGGTTTGTAAAAAAAAGTTAGCCGTTTTTAGCCGATTTTACTATTTGCCTAATTTTCAGGTGCAAAAAGTAAACAAGTTGTTCGAAAGCAATAATGCAGACCCAATGAAGATTTTTAATGAACTCAATGTTTTACTTTCGCATCTATGCTCCCTAGTGGTTATTAGCGCGGACACATTTGATCCTATATGCTCCCCGTTGGAACCATACCTAGCTCCATTTCCTCAGTTTTATCACAGTTTTGAAGAGTATTTAAAAACAAAAGTTAGCACAAACGCTTTTGACCACGAAGCCGAGAAAATAATTCGAGAAAATGGTCGCTATTTTATTATCACTTTAATAAAGGA